GCATCTCACCTGCACGCTGCCAGCATCTCACCTGTACTCTGCCAGCATCTCACCTGTACTCTGCCAGCATCTCACCTGTACTCTGCCAGCATCTCACCTGTACTCTGCCAGCGTCTCACCTGTACTCGGCCAGCAACTCACCTGTACTCTGCCAGCGTCTCACCTGTACTCGGCCAGCACCTCACCTGTACTCGGCCAGCATCTCACCTGTACTCTGCCAGCACCTCACATGTACTCTGCCAGCATCTCACCTGCACGCTGCCAGCATCTCACCTGTACTCTGCCAGCATCTCACCTGTACTCTGCCAGCATCTCACCTGTACTCCGGCCAGCATCTCACCCTGTACTCGGCCAGCATCTCACCTGTACTCTGCCAGCATCTCACCTGTACTCTGCCAGCATCTCACCTGTACTCGGCCAGCATCTCACCTGTACTCGGCCAGCATCTCACCTGTACTCTGCCAGCATCTCACCTGTACTCGGCCAGCATCTCACCTGTACTCGGCCAGCATCTCACCTGCACTCGGCCAGCATCTCACCTGTACTTGGCCAGCATCTCACCTGTACTCGGCCAGCATCTCACCTGTACTCTGCCAGCATCTCACCTGTACTCTGGCCGGCGTCTCACCTGTACTCTGCCAGCGTCTCACCTGTACTCGGCCAGCATCTCACCTGTACTCTGCCAGCGTCTCACCTGTACTCGGCCAGCACCTCACCTGTACTCGGCCAGCATCTCACCTGTACTCTGCCAGCAATCTCACCTGTACTCTGCAGGATCTCACCTGTACACGGCCAGCATCTCACCTGTACTCTGCCAGCACCTCACATGTACTCTGCCAGCATCTCACCTCCACGCTGCAGCATCTCACCTGTACTCTGCCAGCATCTCACCTGTACTCTGCCAGCATCTCACCTCTACTCGGCCAGCATCTCACCTGTACTCAGCCAGCATCTCACCTGTACTCTGCCAGCACCTCACCTGTACTCTGCCAGCATCTCACCTGTACTCGGCCAGCATCTCACCTGTACTCGGCCAGCATCTCACCTGTACTCTGCCAGCATCTCACCTGTACTCGGCCAGCATCTCACCTGTACTCGGCCAGCATCTCACCTGCACTCGCCAGCATCTCACCTGTACTTCGTCAGCATCTCACCTGTACTCGGCCAGTATCTCACCTCTACTCTGCCAGCATCTCACCTGTACTCTGCCAGCGTCTCACCTGTACTCTGCCAGCGTCTCACCTGTACTCGGCCAGCATCTCACCTGTACTCTGCCAGCGTCTCACCTGTACTCTGCCAGCATCTCACCTGTACTCGGCCAGCATCTCACCCGTACTCTGCCATCATCTCACCTGTACTCTGCCAGCATCTCACCTGTACACGGCCAGCATCTCACCTGTACTCGGCCAGCATCTCACCTGTGTAAGAAAACGGGACTTTGATTGATTAAAATGAGAGAGGGCATACAAGCTTAAGTACCAACCATAGGAGAGGGTTGGAAGGGATTAGGGGAATCGGAGGGAATCCCAAGGGAATCCTCCCAAATCGTGGGGATTTGGGATGGATTGGGTTGGAATAGGTTGGAGATAAAAAAGCTACACCCAACCTAACAAACATTCCTAACCCTAAACAAACAAATGACGAACACACAAATGTGCAACATTGCAGCCTATCTCCAACACACCCCCTAGGCTGCAACGGCTGAAGTCATCGGGACGCCATGACCCGTAGCACGGAGGAGGCCGTAGTGGTCACGGCGTCCAAGAGACTTGGTGAACAGGTCTGCGAGGTTGCAGTCAGAAGAAATGTGCTTCACCCACAACTGGCCACGCTGGACCAACTCGCGCATAAAGAAGTGCCGAAGCTTGATATGCTTGGTCCGTTGGTGGAAGGCAGGGTCTTTGGTAAGGTGTATAGTGCTCTCGTTGTCACACCATAGGGTCGGGGTCTGCTGAGGATACTCGAGCTCAGCCATGAGGTAGGTAAGCCATCGGGCTTCTTGGGTTGCCATGGTGCCTGCGTACAGCTCTGCTTCGCAGGACGACAAAGAGACGGACGATGAGCGTGTTAATCGCCAGCTAATGACACCACTACCAAGGGTGAAGCAATAGCCCTGGGAGGAGCGTCGGTCAGCTTGGTCGTCAGCCCATGAGGAATCACTGTACCCTCGAGGTGAGGAGGGGACGTGCCACCGAGAGCGAGGACAAAGTCCTTGGTGGCTTGAAGGTAGTGAAGGACACGCTTAGCAGCTGACCAGTGGCGATTGGTGTAACGACCAGCAGCAACGTAACGTAAGAGCACGCTGATGGGATAGGCCAAGTCGGGCCTTGTGCACATCATCGCATGCATGAGTGAGCCGACGAGCTCGGGATAAGCTGCATCACAAGGCTCAGGTGATGGAACTGGCGGGGCAGTCAGATCGTGCTGCAGGGGAAGCGGCATAGCCACTGACTTGGCTTCGTCCATGTTGAAGCGCTTGAGGACGTTGTTCACGTAGAACTCTTGGGAGAGAGTAATGGTTTGGGCATCACGATCCCGCGTGATTTCCATCCCAAGGTAGTTCTTGAGTTCGCCGAGATCCTTCATCGCGAGTGCGTCCCCTAGGGCTTGCTTGACTGCTGCCTGCTGATCGGAGTCCTTGGAGAAGAGGATCATGTTGTCAACATAGACGAGGATCATGTTGTCAACATAGACGAGAATGAAGAACGGCTTCTCGTTCTTGCGAATGAAAAGGCTCGGATCGGCGGCAGAAGGATGAAGTCGAGTGACTCGTGGGTGGCCTTCAGCTTCTTATGCCATACGCGAGGAGCTTGCTTCAGCTCGTAGACGGGTCGATTCAACTTCCAGACTGTTCCGGGTGGAGAGGGTAAGGGGAACCCTTGAGGCCGTTCCATGAAAATATCCTCAGGTGTGAAACAGCGGAAGGAGACGGAGCGGGTGAGGAGGAGAGGGTAGAGGAATCAGGAGTGGTGGCAGTGGGGATGGAGAGCGAGGCGTCGAAATCGGCCCAGACGAGCGAAGGCGGAGCGGGGGCAGGAGACGAGTGAAGATAAAATGGGCGAGTCTAGTGAAAAGCGACATCTCAGCTACGGATGAGTTGATTAGTGGATGGATTGAGGAAAATGTAGGTTGGAGAATCGACGTTGTGACCAAGGTAGACGCATGTCTGAGTCTTGGGACGAACTTGCCGCATGGGCGCGGCGATGATGAGGATTGAGGGACATAAGCGGTACACCCACAGGCGCGGAGCGGGCGTGCACTTGGCTTGGAGCCTGTCCAGAGCTCGGCAGGCGTGACCTCGGGGCGAAGGGGATGAGGGTGAAGGTTGTAGAGGAGGGTGGCGTGAAGGAGAGCGTATTCCCAAAGGGAGGGTGGAGCGGCAGCATGCGTGAGAAGACAGCGGGCAAATTGCACAAGAGTGCGATTGCGGCTTTCCGCGATGCCATTCTGCTCCGGGCTGTGCGGAAGTGTGAAGGTTTGGCGAATTCCTTGTGAAGCGCAAAATGTGTGAAGGGTATGATTGCGGAACTCGCCACCGCCGTCGGAATGGAGACACGTGACGGAGGTGCGAAAGTGGGTTTGAGCTTGCCGAACCCAAGCGATGACGGTATCAGGGACCGCCGCTTTGGAGGAAAGGAGGTGGACGGATGCGTAGCGAGAGTGATCGTCCACGAGTACCAAGAAGTATGAATGCCACCACGGGATTGAACAGGCGCCGGCCCCTAGAGATCCATATGGATGAGATCAAGGGGGGCGGCCGCGGCGGAGGGTGATGGAGGGTGAGGCAATTGACGCAAATTACTTTGTGCACAGTCCAGACAGGGAGGTGCTGGTGAAGGCGATGGTGGGGGAAGAGAGTCGGGAAGATGGAGAAGGAGTTTCTTGGAGGCGAGCTCTGAGAGGGTGCAAAAATTGGGGTGCCCGAGCCGGTGGTGGAAAAACAAGGTAGGGTCGGAGAGGTGGCGACACGAGCACGTGGAGGTTGTGTGAACTTCAGTGCGAAGTGGAGCACTTGAAGCTTGTAGAGGTCGTTGGAGGAGAGTGAAGCGCGCGAGACGCGTGTTGCAGGTTGGATCAATGAGATCACAGTGGTTGTTGGAGTGAACGGGGAAGATGGTGGTGACCCCTGCGCGCTGAATTTCGTGCTGTGCAAGGAGATAGTGCCTTAGCGTGGGGAGGCATATACTAGTGACAGTGCCGGAAGGGAATGCCGGGCATGGAAGTGTGGATGAGCCATGGGCAAGGGTGGTGAAGCTCGAGTCGGCACCAAGTAAAGGGACGGGTGCTTGGTATGGTTCGAATGACTCTTTGTCCCTGAGGACGGTGTGGGTTGCTCCGCTATCAAGGACGAATTCGAGTCTCGAGGAGCGTTCAGGCACCGAGTACTGCGAAGTGGTTTCATTGATCATGGCAACGCCTGGGAACAACAGGTTGAGACAAACATCAGGACTAGGGCTGTCAGCAGTTGTATCCTGAGGAGTCTGAACTTCAAATGTGGCCTGGCGCATGCGGAGCCAATTGGGTGGCTTGGAGTTGACGCCATTCTTCGCAAACCACTTGTCGTCTTTATTTTTGAAGCACGTGGCGAGTGGGTGGTTGGTGCCACCGCAGACTTGCCCTTCGCGAGGGCCCATTTTAATGACGTAGGACCAAGGCGGGTAGCGGTTACGAGCTGGAGGCATTGGGACGCGCAGTTGGGGAGGAGCTTGGAGAGCGAAGTGCATTTGCTCGAGCCTAGGCGGTATTGTCTTTCTCGGCAAAAAGAAGCGCAGAGGAGACTTTAGCGAAGGTGAGCTCTTCCAGTGGGAGGTAGACATGGGCACAAGCCGAGCCACACCCGACTCGGCTCGGCTCGGCTCGCCTTTAAGGCGAGCCGATTTTTTTTTTTTGGTGCCCGGCTCGAGTCGAGCCGAGCCGGCTCGGCTCTGCTCGCGCAGGCGAAACCAGGCGAGCCGGAGTCGAGCCGGCTCGAAATGGCTCGAATTCGAGCCAGCTGGCTCGCGGTTCGGGTAAGCGGGGGTTTCGCGACAGTCAAAAATAAATCCATAAACTCCCCCAAGCCCATTTCGTCAACCAACCCTAGTCTTACCATAACGCCCTAGTCTATCGCCCTAGTCTTTCACCCTCAGCCAGAACCAAACTTGCAGCACCTTGTTTTATTTTTTAAGATGTAAGAGCTATTATTTATAATTAGGGCCACCGAGGCTTTGGTGCGACAACACTAGGCGCGCCACAGAGGCCTTGGCTCGTGGTATGCGCACGCTAGGGTTTAGGCTTGGGCGTGCGTCCGTTTAGGCCTAGTCCTGCAATGCTGAAGGTTGTAGGGCGCTTGGTAACACTTGATTAGGGCGCACGATTACATAAGTTAAGCGCACGCATTTGGGGGTGCGCGATCTTGCATTGCACATGGCAAAGACCAAGGCAACAGCGGCTAGGCAAGGGGGGCCGGAGAGGGATCGTGTAGCGGGCACAGATGAGGCGGTGGGGGACCAGGGGGGTGTGAGTTCGAGGGCGAATGCGACCGATGGAGGTGGAGCCATGCCCCACATGCCTGAGGAGTGGATGGATTTCCTCCTCTCTCGGCAGGGGATGGGACAAGGGGGAGGTGGGGGGAGAGCCCAGGGGGAGGGGAGGAGGGTCAAGCGCGCACAAGCTCGCCGCAGCCGGGAGAGCGGTGGCGATGAGAGGGATGGGAGCGAGTCGGAGGAGCGGGAGAGCGGAAAATCTAGCGGCAGCGAGTATGAGGAGGAGGAAGAGGAGGAGGGGGATGATGAGCACGAGATGGAGGGATTGGTGGTGGAGGAGGATGAGGAGGAGGAGGAGGAGGAGGAGGAGGAGGAGGAGGAGGAGGAGGAGGAGGAGGAGGAGGAGGAGGAGGAGGAGGAGGAGGAGGAGGAGGAGGAGGAGGAGGAGGAGGAGGAGGAGGAGGAGGAGGAGGAGGAGGAGGGGGGAGGAGGGGGAGGGTCGGTCCAAGAAGGGAATGGGTGGGAGTGGGGGGGGGGGAGAGCGCCAAGGGAGAGGCAGCGTCAGGAAGGGAGAGGGGTTGGGCGACGGCCAGGGACAGGCGCAAAGGGGAGGAGGAGGGGTGGGGAGGAGGGGGGGGAGCGCGCTGCACCTGCCGTTGGGTTTCAGGGCAGGGGAGGGCGTGCGGATGGGGCTGAGGAGGTGGACCCAGGCGTTGAGCAGGAGGGGAGAAGGAAAAGACAGAAAAAGAACCGTAAGGTTGGGGCAAAGAGGAGCAACAAGCGTGTGGCAGAGAGTTTTTTGGGGAGCGAGAGAAAGCGAGTGTGCAAGATGTGCGAGAAGCCGATGGGCTTCAAGGACAGCCAGACCAGCACGGGTGCCAAACATATGGCGAGACACCATTGCCCACACTGGGACATATGGCAGCGGCGCGTGGTCGAGGGTCTTGAGCCAGGAGAGTCATTTCCGATGGGGGGATACCCACATGTCCCTGATGGGAAGGCGCCCAACGAGTGGTCCAAGACTTGGCCGCACCCCCCCCCTGGCGCCACCATCCCGTCCCTGTCACCGGCAGCGGCGGACGCGAGGCAGCCCACGATGGACCGGTTCCTTGGCCCACGTGTGTCGGAGCCGCGTTTGCGTCAGGTGATCGTCGAGTTCATCGCCAGCACCTAAAGGAACTAGCTTCGAAGAGAAAAGATTGAATTGAGTAGGGAGCCAAGAGGCTCTTTTGTACAAAACAAGGAGCAAGGAAGAGTTGGAATGGAAGCTCTCCTATTGGCCATAAAGTGGACCAATGAGAGAGGTTACTTGTAGGGCAAGCAACCACTAAGTGTTGTGCTCTCCAATTGGCCACCATGTGGACCAATGAGAGAGATTGCTTGGAAGGCAAGCAACCACAAAATGTGGTGCTTGGTGATTGGTTGGTTCCTAGGACCAAGGACCATTTGGTTGGAATAGTGCCAACCAAATGTCTAGGACCAAATCCAATCTTGACCCACCCAAATGTGGGGTTGGTCAACCCAACCAACAACCCCCCAATAATTATAATGACCACACCTCCTAATCTAGGCATGCATGTTGTATAGATATATATTTTACAACAGCACCAACAGCTCCTTTCGCATCGTAGAGGACCCCGCGGTAAACGAGCCACCCCACCAGTCCCCCCCCCCACCCTTCCCTAAGCCTGTGGTCATTGTGTAACCCAACTCCCCCCCCCCTTATAACCTACTGGATCTGCCCACCAAAAGAACCACCCGCCCCACCACCACCTCCTCCCCCCCCCCCCGCATGGCGCTAAACACCCCCAAACCCCACGCCCCCCCTCTCGCTCCATTCCTTGAAATTGGGGCTTGTGCCGTTGAGGTCAAGGCGCAACGGCGTGATTGGGGTACCAAGGGACGCGGAGGGGAAGGCCACGGTGTAAAGGGCCCCTTTCTCCAGCGCGGAGCGCAATTCTTAAGTCGCCGATAGGAACTTCAACGCTCGGAGCGGGTTTTCAATGCTCGGAGTGTCGATTTGTCGGAACTCAATAGGAAACGAGCCGTCCGGAAAGTCACTAAATAGTGGTCAAAACTGCTGCTTCTGTACTGCTACGCCGCTGCACCCGCTGCTGCACCCGCTGCTGCTCCCATTCTGCTACGCCGCTGAGACCCCCTGCCGTTGCAAGGGCGACGGGCGGCAGCCCGTTCAGCTTCGACGCGCAGATGCAGGGCGACGGGCGACGGCCCGAGACAGGTGCGATGAGCAGATGCGGGGCGACGGGCGGCAGCCCGAAGAGACGAGCCGTGCAGATGCGGGGCGACAGGCGTCAGCCCGAGGAGAAGCGCCGCGCAGATGCGGGGCGACGGGCGTCAGCCCGAAGAGAAGAGCCGCGCAGACGTGGGGGCGACGGGCGTCAGCCCGAAGAGAAGCGCCGTGCTGAGTTAAGGCGGCTAGAAAATCTTTGCGTCATAAGACGCAAATGCTAAGCTCCAACGGAGCGAGAGGATCAAGAGCCGCTTAGGCGGAAACGAGCTCTGATACCATGTATGAAAACAGGACTTTGATTTGATTGATTAAAATGAGAGAGGGCATACGAGCTTAAGTACTAACCATAGGAGAGGGTTGGAAGGGATTAGGGGAATCGGAGGGAATCCCCAGGGAATCCTCCCAAATCGTGGGGATTTGGAATGGATTGGGTTGGGATAGGTTGGAGAGAACAAAGCTACACCCAACCTAACAAACATTCCTAACCCTAAACAAACAAATGACTAACACACAAATGTGCAACATTGCCACCTATCTCCAACAACCTGTACTCGGCCAGCATCTCACCTGCACTCGGCCAGCATCTCACCTGTACTCGGCCAGCATCTCACCTGTACTCGGCCAGCATCTCACCTGTACTCTGCCAGCATCTCACCTGCACTCGGCCAGCATCTCACCTGTACTTGGCCAGCATCTCACCTGTACTCAGCGAGCATCTCACCTGTACTCGGCCAGCATCTCACCTGTACTCTGCCAGCATCTCACCTGTACTCTGCCAGCATCTAACCTGCACTCGGCCAGCATCTCAACTGTACTCGGCCAGCATCTCACCTGTACTCGGCCAGCATCTCACCTGTACTCGGCCAGCATCTCACCTGTACTCGGCCAGCATCTCACCTGTACTCTGCCAGCATCTCACCTCTACTCGGCCAGCATCTCACCTCTACTCGGCCAGCATCTCACCTGTACTCTGCCAGCATCTCACCTGTACTCGGCCAGCATCTCACCTGTACTCGGCCAGCATCTCACCTGTACTCGGCCAGCATCTCACCTGTACTCGGCCAGCATCTCACCTGTACTCTGCCAGCATCTAACCTGCACTCGGCCAGCATCTCAACTGTACTCGGCCAGCATCTCACCTGTACTCGGCCAGCATCTCACCTGTACTCGGCCAGCATCTCACCTGTACTCGGCCAGCATCTCACCTGTACTCGGCCAGCATCTCACCTGTACTCGGCCAGCATCTCACCTGTACTCGGCCAGCATCTCACCTGTACTCTGCCAGCATCTCACCTGCACTCGGCCAGCATCTCACCTGTACTCGGCCAGCATCTCACCTGTACTCGGCCAGCATCTCACCTGTACTCGGCCAGCATCTCACCTGTACTCGGCCAGCATCTGACCTGTACTCTGCCAGCATCTCACCTCTACTCGGCCAGCATCTCACCTCTACTCGGCCAGCATCTCACCTGTACTCTGCGAGCATCTCACCTGCACTCGGCCAGCATCTCACCTGTACTTGGCCAGCATCTCACCTGTACTCAGCCAGCATCTCACCTGTACTCGGCCGGCATCTCACCTGTACTCTGCCAGCATCTCACCTGTACTCTGCCAGCATCTAACCTGCACTCGGCCAGCATCTCACCTGTACTCGGCCAGCATCTCACCTGTACTCGGCCAGCATCTCACCTGTACTCGGCCAGCATCTCACCTGTACTCGGCCAGCATCTAACCTGTACTCGGCCAGCATCTCACCTGTACTCGGCCGGCATCTCACCTGTACTCAGCCAGCATCTCACCTGTACTCGGCCAGCATCTCACCTGTACTCTGCCAGCATCTCACCTGCACTCGGCTAGCATCTCACCTGTACTCGGCCAGCATCTCACCTGTACTCGGCCAGCATCTCACCTGTACTCGGCCAGCATCTCACCTGTACTCTGCCAGCATCTCACCTGTACTCTGCCAGCATCTAACCTGCACTCGGCCAGCATCTCACCTGTACTCGGCCAGCATCTCACCTGTACTCGGCCAGCATCTCACCTGTACTCTGCCAGCATCTAACCTGCACTCGGCCAGCATCTCACCTGTACTCGGCCAGCATCTCACCTGTACTCGGCCAGCATCTCACCTCTACTCGGCCAGCATCTCACCTCTACTCGGCCAGCATCTCACCTGTACTTGGCCAGCATCTCACCTGTACTCAGCGAGCATCTCACCTCTACTCGGCCAGCATCTCACCTGTACTCTGCCAGCATCTCACCTGTACCCTGCCAGCATCTAACCTGCACTCGTCCAGCATCTCACCTGTACTCGGCCAGCATCTCACCTGTACTCGGCCAGCATCTCACCTGTACTCTGCCAGCATCTAACCTGCACTCGGCCAGCATCTCACCTGTACTCGGCCAGCATCTCACCTGTAATCGGCCAGCATCTCACCTGTACTCGGCCAGCATCTCACCTGTACTCGGCCAGCATCTCACCTGTACTCGGCCAGCATGGGTGGCGCCTTGGTGCGCACGGCCAGCACCATGTCATCGTACGCCAGGGCCTGGCGCACAGCACACCGGGGGACGTGGGGGAGAGGTGGGGGGAGAGGTGGGGGGAGAGGTGGGGGGAGAAGCAGAGGTAGAGAGGGGGGACAAGCGGGGAGAGAGGTGGGGAGAGAGGTGGGGAGAGAGGTGGGGAGAGAGGTGGGGAGAGAGGTGGGGAGATTAGAATAATGGAATAATGGAAATGAGGGGGGGTCAGCTGGACAAGGGGACTGACTCATGCATACCATCAACCTGCACCACCTACATCCTTTTCCCTCACCTCATTGCACCTCACCGCATTGCACCTCGCTGATATGTGCAGCTCGTGTCTGTGTTGAGCAGCACCAGCATTGGCCATGCGGCTTCTAGTGGTTCTAGCCCATGCTTACCAGCCCAGCCGTGCACCTCACCTGCTTCCACCATGGCTGTGGCACGGTGCACCTCATTCGATTCCACCATGGCTGTGGCACGGTGCACCTCATTCGATTCCACCATGGCTGTGGTACCGTGCACCTCATTCGATTCAACCATGGTTGTGGCACCGTGCACCTCATTCCATTCCACCATGGCTGTGGCACGGTGCACCTCATTCGATTCCACCATGGCTGTGGCACCGTGCACCTCATTCGATTCCACCATGGCTGTGGCACCGTGCACCTCATTCGATTCCACCATGGCTGTGGTACCGTGCACCTCATTCGATTCAACCATGGTTGTGGCACCGTGCACCTCATTCGATTCCACCATGGCTGTGGCACGGTGCACCTCATTCGATTCCACCATGGCTGTGGCACCGTGCACCTCATTCGATTCCACCATGGCTGTGGCACCGTGCACCTCATTCGATTCCACCATGGCTGTGGCACCGTGCACCTCATTCGATTCCACCATGGCTGTGGCACCGTGCACCTCATTCGATTCCACCATGGCTGTGGCACCGTGCACCTCATTCGATTCCACCATGGCTGTGGCACCGTGCACCTCATTCGATTCCACCATGGCTGTGGCACCGTGCACCTCATTCGATTCCACCATGGCTGTGGCACCGTGCACCTCATTCGATTCAACCATGGCTGTGGCACCGTGCACCTCATTCGATTCCACCATGGCTGTGGCACCGTGCACCTCATTTGATTCCACCATGGCTGTGGCACCGTGCACCTCATTCGATTCCACCATGGCTGTGGCACCGTGCACCTCATTCGATTCCACCATGGCTGTGGCACCGTGCACCTCATTCGATTCCACCATGGCTGTGGCACCGTGCACCTCATTCGATTCCACCATGGCTGTGGCACCGTGCACCTCATTCGATTCCACCATGGCTGTGGCACGGTGCACCTCATTCGATTCCACCATGGCTGTGGCACCGTGCACCTCATTCGATTCCACCATGGCTGTGGCACCGTGCACCTCA